CCGATCGATGATGTGCACATTAAACAATAACGCCATGATAGCATCCGTGTATCCCATACATTCGGACACGTTTTGGTCGGCACCGTCGTTCCACTTTTTCGCCACGGCTCTGCGGTACGACTGGAAGGTCAAAGTGACCCTTTCCGGTTAAAACTGAATTTTAGAAAATGAATTCGGTGTACTTTTATCGGTTTTTATTGTTTTAAGTCGAAAATGGCAAACCTAGAAACTGACCTTTTTCGGTTAAAACCGAATTTCTGAAAATGGATTCGGCGTACGTTTATCGGTTTAAACCGAAAACTCCGAACCCTTTGTATAGTGTACTCAAGATGTGATATACTCATTCTGGCGAATAGCGTTTAGGTAGCCAGGTCTTGAATCAAACATCTTGTTTTATAAGTAATTATTTTTGAGTAGCTTTTTAAGGTTAATCTTTTTGTACGGTTTGTCTTTGATTGAAGAATCCAAAGGCAATAAAATTATGATCCCCTAAACTATCAGTTACTTATACTTTCCAATGTGTAACGTTATTAGCCTGAAGAAGGGCTTATTCATTTATTTATTTATCACATGTACCCTCAGGGCTTTCGGCATTGAAGAGGGGAGTGGTTACAAAAAGAAGTGATGAGGAAGTAAAGAAAGCAGTTACTAGAAGTACAAAAAACAACGTCTGTTCATACAATATTTGCTGAGGCGTTCTTGAACAGTTGGAGGTCTTCGATCGAAGCTGTTGGTACGGGAAGGCGATTCCACCCTTGTTGTGTGCGTGGGAGAAATGACCGAAAAAAGCATTAGTCCTCCACGATAGGACACCGACCTTATAGACGTGATCTAATCGAGATGAAACGAACTGAGTAGGTAAAATAAGTTTGGTGCGGAGTAGGGGTAATAAAACATCTTCTGAAAGAGGCAAAACGAAAATTTTTACGACGAAGTGCCAAAGTCGGTAAGTTGAGGCTGGATTTAATTGTAGTTATGCTCGCCGTTCTGTTATAGCTGGACAAAATAAAACGGACAGAGTTATTCTGAACACTTTCGAGTGAGTGAATTAGATTTTAATGACAGGGATCCCAGACTCAAATTGCATATTCGAGTTTTAGACGAGTTATTGCTTTGTGGAGTAGAATTTTTAAAGATGAGGGAACTTTTGCAAACTTACGTCGAAGGTATCCCAGCATGCGTTTAGCGTTATTAATTATATATGTTATATGAACTGCCACAGTGAGATTTGATGTGATGTGAATACCAAGATATTTATAACTAGTCACAGCGTCCAGGGGCGAGTTATGAAAATGGTAAACAGGTAGATCAACTATTTTCCTGGACACGCGCATAAATTTACATTCGTTAATGTTCAGTTTCATGAACCACGTTTTGCACCATGCAGAAATTGCGTCAAGATCGGACTGGAGCGTGTTAATGTCATTTTCGCAAGTTATTCCCCTAAATACAACACAGTCATCGGCAAACAAATTAATATGCGAAGAGACACAAGAGGGTAGATTATTAATATATATAAGAAAAAGAAGAGGTCCGAGCACAAAGCCTTGTGGCGCACCGCAGTGGACACCACTTGGCTGAGAGAGACGATTATTAGCTCCAATGAACTGCTATCGGTTAACCAGAAAACATTCGAGGCAGATAAGGATTTTTGAATCCCGGTAAAATTATCAAAGGCCTTTGAGAAGCCTAAAAGATGCAATCGGCTAATGAAGAATGGTCATGACATTTAGCTTATGAAGGACTGATACCAACTGTGCTTCACACGAGTAGGTTTTTTGAAAGCCATGTTCTGACGACGTAAAAAACGAATTAGATTCAAGGAGGTTGCGAGGTTCGAAGACAGTATTTGTTCGAAAATTTTACATGGGATGATGGTGAGTGATTGTGGTCGGTAAATAAGTGGAGAATGCTTGTTACCTAATTTATGAAGTGGACTCACCTTTTCGACCACGTACTCAGCTGGAAAACAACCATTATCGATTAATTGTTGAATATATTTTGATCAGATAACTGAACAATAAAAGTTCGTATATTTTAAAAATTGTGACTCATGAGGTCACAACCAGGAGCGGAGGCAAGTTTAAGTGATCTATTTATGCTTTTGATACCTAAATGCTATATGATATCGGGAACATAGTAGTGTTGTCGTAGGAATTGGTAGTCGATTGTGGGGCGTTGAAAGTTACAGAAACATTACGCGTAAAAATTTCATTGAATATGAGATTCGCTGAACTGTCAACTAGTGAGATATTGACATCATCAGCAGGGTTCATCACGTGCCGAATGTTTTTAATATCGGTTGCAAGCGTGGATGGTAAGGTAGTTTTCTGGTATTTTCCCCTGGCTGTTTTAATTGTCGCCACGAGTTCATCGGAAGCTCGTTTCTAAGCGGCCCAATGGGCATCGTCTGAGAATGAATTGGCCGATCTGTACAATCACTTTTTATATCGGAATTAAAAACAGCGCAGAAAGACGAGGACCAGACAAAGAAGTGACACGGACATAGCGCTGACTTACAACTGAGTTTATTGAACGTAAAATCGCAATATATATTTGCGGTGTCACAACTTTAGCACTTTTTACTGTTTGATAGATGTCTAATATGGGGGTTATACCAGGGAGCATTACTGTTAGATGTGATAGTGCGGGTGGGAATGTACTTATTAGTTAAGTCGTTGATCTTGACCACGAACATATCCCAGATGGACTGGACGCTGCGAATTTTGAAGTCATTGAAAAATGTTTGGAGGATTGAAAGGATCATTGAAAGGTATATCAAACTTTTTCATTTACAGTACAGGATTTAGGAATGGAATATTGATCGTTTAATTTGAAAAGATCATGTTTTAATACAAAAATATTTAATTGATTCCCATGATCATCATCTTTTTTATCTCCCAATTGGCGTGTCTTGCATTAAAATCTCCGGCTATGATTATGTCGTTTTTATGTACAGTTATGATTGACTCAAAACTTCTTTGAAATCTATTAACTGAGGTTGTAGGATATATGTAGACATTTAATATTGTTACTGTTTTGTTTTATTATGTGCATTGTAAGACTATAATATCTTTTTCAACTCTTTCAAAAAGATTGAAAATTATTGATCTGTAACTATAATGGCGCATTTGGGGTTTTTGGGGAAGTGAAAACACGGTTCCGAGTTTGGAATACTTGTAATGTGGTTGTCAAAAACATTTATGGTTTTTTTAGGAAAATAAATACAGCGTTAGTTTTAGTGTATATATTAACAAGATAATTAGTCGCAGCCCTTTATCTCCCTAAGCTAAATTGTAATGTCTCTAAGTTATTCACCATCCACCAATTTATTTTTGTTGTTTTTGTTCTTGTTTTTGCGTTCTTTGAATGATGTGTTTTGGTTTATAAATATTACTGGGGCTGTTTTTCCTTATTTTTGTTCTTTCAAGTGTAATGTGGTTTGTTATTATTACTTTCGCTCTTACTTATTATGAGTAGTCTGTTCTAGACCGGAGTTGTGAAGCATGGAAGTCGTGTGTACCGCATTAGCTTCCTCCATAAGAGTGTTTGGCATTGACCCTTCGCATAATACATGCGCGGAATTCACCCTCCTTGTAGTTTGTTATTCTGCACTCTTGAGCAGGGAGGTTGCCAGCACAAATGGAGCAGAAGATCATCTGTGATGTCCGTAGGTGGTACATTTGTCGCTCCTCGAGTCATAGAAATTCTCTATCAAGGAGTAGGATGTCCAGTCTGGGCGCAGTTATTTATTTATTTTTTATTTTTTGTTTAGTTGCTTGCAGACCTTGGCGCTAATTAAAAAAATCGCGAGTTTTGTTTCCTGATGTTTCTTTGAATAAAGAGCGGTGATGGAAGTCCGGAGGTTCAATTTTGATCTCTGGGTTTTGTCTTTGAAGTGTTGTGAAGAATTCCGGAGATAGGATGCCTAGGTCGACGCACGAGACATGGAATTGTGGTTGACGTTTTGTCGGTTTTTTTAACACGGACGGTTTTTGGTGCTTGGGTGAATGTCAATTGCGTCCTGGAGATTCTGTAGTTCTCCTGCTGATGATGATTGTAGTGCCACTCCTTCTCTGCTGTCTCACATTGAAACTTTACCCAGTCTCAGGGTGTCCTGTTCAAACACCTATACCACTTTAGTATTGTCACCAAAAGACGATAGATATATCTGCTGCTGACGACGTCTTGTCTTCGGACACGGTCCTTAATCAGAAACTCCCGCCACGTAGATACAACTACAGAAGAAGCGGACAGGGAAAGGCAAGTTAAGCAGCGGTAAAAACGGGAAGGTCAAGTAGTCGGGAAAATATTTAGCACAACTGCGCTTAAGGTATAGCTCCCGGCTTGAGAGAGGGTTGTCCAAAGCCACGCTCACGAGTGGGCGTTCTGACTTCGTTGGCCACCGTGACTTTCTTGTACGAAATGCCTTCCGCCTGTTGCTGGATTATCATACCTCACGTTTAAAGGTTATGTTTCTACGACAGTTCTTTTTCTTCGCCTCTGTCCAGTTGAAAATTTTCTTAAGTTATTTTGATCTTTCGGTACGAACTTTTAACTGCAAAAGTCACTTTACTTTTTAAAGCTTTATTTTTAATGCGACCATGTTGGACGTGTTTTCTTGACTCTCCCGTTGACTTTTGGAGCCAACCTTTAGCTTTGGTATCACGTGAACCTATCCATTAGAACGTCTTTTAAGCCTAGGTGACCAAACATGTTGTCGGGACTGGTTTAAGTCAAGTACATGACGTACGCTGTATGATTAATTGGCTCCAGTAAATTAACCCTTCAAGAGTGGCATGAGGCATCGTGTGACAATGGACAAATATAGTTCAAGGAGGGAATGCACATTTTTCTCTGAACTCTTCCGAAATGTCATGCCGTTGTCATTTTTCTAAACCCTGGAAGACTGAATTGATTACAAGGATGACAAGGGACGACTATAATAATCCGGGAGGTTGCCCAAATCAACGTGCACAGGAAGGCTGCGATCAGGCAGAATGCGAGAAGAGGTTGGTTTTGTTGTAGCACTAATGCTGTCTGCTGTCCTGGCAGGTAAGTGTGACAATGCCTGTGGGTTTAGAAAGTAAACGCTATTAACCAAATAGATCGGTTCTCGATGAACTACTAGATTATGTCAATAGAAACTGAGATGCTCTGTTGGACACAGAAAACCTGACGTGAAATGTTTAATGCGGTTAGTACAGTGTGTTTCCGACGGATTACAAGAATTTTAATTGTGTGAAATGGATGCTGGGCGAATTCACGCATGCAAAAAAAACGAAAAAAAAAAAAAACGCGCAAACTACTTTAAATATTAAGCTGCCTGATCGACTTGAAGTTTATACAATGTGTGACGTCACCCCACTGGGGAGCCAGGGAAACTGTTAATGTTGGTTTCGTCCTAATTCTTATGACGTTTTCTCAGCAGTTTTGAATTTAGATATAGTAAATAACATGCCGGGAAGAGTGATGCCTGGGTATTCCGAAAACATGCTTTAGTATGGGTAGCTCAAAGAACTGCCGGACCTGAATAAACATGTGAACATATCTATTTTTTTTTTTTTTGTTGTTTTTGTTTTTGTTTGTGGTCTGCATAATCCAGAGCAATAGACCTTTTTCTGAAGACCGTCGAGCAACATTGGCGGTCGCCATTGCTTGGGCAAGAAGCGCCTGGTAGGATCCGAGTGCTCGCCGAACGCTGGCGTAAGCGCTCATGTCCAATACAAGCTCAGAGCGCGTGATCAAGCAATGGCAGACAGGCGTCCGTGTGTACTTTTTGGAAAAGGGGTATTATGAAACCAATAGTTCTAGAATTACATCCAACGGCTGTGCGGATGTACCCTAACCTACCAATGAACTTATACAGCTGCAGGGCTTCCTTCGGAGAACATTGTGTACCCGAGAATCATTGAATCCAGAGATCTGAGTAGCGAAAAGACGCTCTACATTCGACCCGGACTCGTGCTGAGCCTCGAAAAGAGCCGAGTATTTTCGGATAATTTTGTTTTCTCAGAAGACGACGGTGTAAATCGCCACGACAGACTCGTGAGTACATTCCAGTCTTGCTGGTTTATATAGGGTGGTTTTTCTAGGCTTTGCAGAAATTTCTAAGTAAACGCCGTGCAAGCTGCACTAGTGCTGTCTTTCCTGATGAGGTATGCGGTGAGTTATGCATAACATGGGTAGGGTTCGGAGTTGTTGGTTTAAACCGATAAAAACCGATAAACGTACGCCGAATTCATTTTCAGAAATTCGGTTTTAACCGAAAAAGGTCAATTCGTAGGTTCGCCATTTTCGACTTAAAACAATAAAAACCGATAAAAGTACGTCGAATTTATTTTCTAAAATTCAGTTTTAACCGGAAACGGTCACTTTGACCTTCCAGTCGTACCGCAGAGCCGTGGCGAAAAAGTGGACCGACAGTGCCAACCGAAACGTGTATGGGGTACACGGATGCCATCATGGCGTTATTGTTTAATGTGCGCATCATCGATCGGAACGTGAAATCCGAAATGCCCCATGACTTCGCCATGTACGAGCCTGTTTTCAAACTCGTTTTAAGGAAGACTGGATGCAAGCTCTGCATGTTGTGTTGTGCTTCAAAACGTCACACCGTGTCTCTTTTGGCGGTCACGACTGGTTGATTGGCCGATTTTCGCTCAGGCAGCGCTTCATCTCCTCAGCCCTCCAGTGTCCAGTGTTAGCGTTGAGATGGCATTCTCGAAGCTCAGGGTCATATTAACGAAAAAGAAAAAGTGCGGATCAACGAAGAAAACCTGGGAAAGTACATGTGTGTGTACTATAATAAGGTCACGTAATCCCGATGTACAGAAGTTAAAGTTCCATGTGTTTTGGGCATAAGGTTCATATCTGACTTGTTTGTACTTCCGTCTTTTTTTTGTTGTTTCTTTTACAGTTGCACACATTTGCCAAATAAAGTGCCGATTTCTTTTTCAATGTATCTCTGCAGTTATTCTTTGAGTGATCACAAATATCAGAGCTACAACGGTCGTCTGATCCGGTGTCCGTTAGTGTTGATTTTAATTCACCGAAAGAAGCCGATAAACTTTTTGGGGCATAAATATACACGAAAAAAACCGAAGATTAAATTTTAAATTAAACACCGAAAAAAGAACGCCAAATTTTGAAATATTAGAAACCGAAAACGCGAAACCCTAAACATGGGGAAATCATGATAAGTCGTATACGTAGCTTTAGGTGTTTAATGCGTTTTCGAATATTGTAAATACCCGTAGGGTTTCAGTTAGAAGCTTCCTGAGCTTCAACGAATGTCCATAAATCAGTCATTTGTAAAAAAGGTTGGTGGACGTGCTCGCTTTATCTGAGGCCAGATTCTCGAAACGATGTTATACGACACAGCGGGTGCGTACGACAAAACCTAAAAACAAATCCGTATTCACGAAGCGAAATTATTGTAAGTTTTGGGTAGGATAGGATGGAATCCTACGAGAGGTCCAGACGTGTCTTACGCACGTTTTACTATCAAATCCACATGGCCGGCAACATCGCCCACTTTCCTTGTCGCGACGATCGATCAACGGGCATTTATGTTTCTACGTGCTCTCCGCGCGCGTCCTAAGTTGAAGCACGAAGAGAAGACAAATAAGTACCCGAGACTGAACGTCGCGCAGACGAACGCTGGAGCTGGTACTGAAATCCGGAAAGAGTTACAGCGTCTATAGGGAGTTTTCTTTGACCTCGTTTCCCCCTGCGCTAAGCCCTCCGATACGAAGAAGCCGCTATTGCGCCTGCGCGCCCATGGCCTTAACTGTAGAGTTCTGGGTATCGTAGCGGGTTGCAGAAAGCGCTGCGGGAAGGCAAAACCGATCTACGAAAACTCCCTAAGGACCGACCAAGCGATCGCCAAGAGCTGACTAGGAATGCTAGGCCTGGCAATGTGCTCTGACGCAACATCGCTCTGACGGTCCCTGGCCACTACCGTCTATTCACAATTGGCTGGCTTGCCGAATGTAATTTGCCGGCGCGACCTTTGTGTCCACTTCCCGTATGAATATTTTGAGCCCTGACATCTATGTTTACGTAAGAGCGTCAGACTCTGCCTCTGGTCGTCCCCTTCCTTTCGGAATCAGCGGTGGCGAACGATGTCGTCGAAAAGGGGTCCACTCTCTTCGATTCTATTTCCTTTTTTTTTCGTGTTATAGAGTTCAAATAAACGCCATATGGATAGATTCGCGACATGGGTACGTGCACTTTATTTAGTATGTCGTTTTTATTCCGACATGACGGTACACCAACACATGTCGAGTTAGAACATTTTTCGCCAGCTCCGCAATCTCAGTCCGACCTGCCTCTGCCGAGCGTCACGTCAGCACCGAGTTGCGATTGTCTTGTGGTCCAGCGCTCATGTAATAGGTTGCAAAAGATCACTCCAGAAGCGGTTGCCAAGACGCAGTCCAACATCGCGGTGACAGCGCTGTTCCGCTTGCGACGTGAGCGGGTATTTACGTGGCTCTCGCTGACACTCCTGTTGTTCAATCGTGTCTTCCTGAACGTCGTCTTCCTCCTGCATCCCCGATGCCAGGAAGGACGCCGCGGCTATTTCTTTTCATGTGCGCCGCTTTGCAGAGCATTGCGGGTCGTCTCCTTTTAGCAACGGGGGCAGTTGCGTTGACTTCGTAGCGATCGAGTTCGTAGCAATCGATCGCGACGGTTATTCCGTCCTCGGCAGCGCTGGGTGTTCAGGACCATTTAAATCGATTTCGTTATGTTGACATTACACCGCACGGAAAGGCACGTGATGCAAAATCTACGTCCTTTGATCATGCAGAGCTCTCCGATTGGCTGTTATATTAACAGCTCGTTCTCGCAATGATCGGTAGCTCGCGGGACACAGGATGTTCTTGTTTTTCCGTACGAAAAATCCGCTGTCCTCACGAACGTATTCGCTGTTTTCGTAAGCTATGAGAAGTTCATTAATTTGGCCTCTGGATCGCCAAAGTGTTTCCAACTTTTCAACTTGACCTCTGGGTCTTGCCATTTGCATTTTCGTTACACAATCCTTGAGCCTCTGTCGCAGGTGGTAACGTTAGCGCGCTTACACACATGCAACTTGCTTCAGGCGTTTCTAAAATCTACTAATGTAGTGATTTTTCACAACGCTCAACAACTCTCTAATATTGGGAGGCCCGGAGTTCGAATCCTGGCTCTATCATAGATGTTGTCTTTCCGCGGCTTCGTAGAATTTGTTTCAGTCGATCAAGTGCAGTTAATTCATCTGCATATTTTCGATTGAACTCCATATTGGTTATGTTCAACAAAAAATTTATTGAACAAATCAACTACTTATTCGACTTATGAGTATTAGACCTGAATAACTCCGATGCACATACCGTATTAATAAAGGTTTCACCGCTTTAAAAATAAACCTGTACAGCCTCAGAAGAAGATTCTTATTTACATGCGATGCCGTGCCGCCAAAATTTCACCTTCCAGGCATGAGGAATGCATTGAACGTAACTGAAGAAAGCTTCTACAAATTCATATAAAATCGTTCGTTGTGATCTTCGCTAACAATGACACGAAATGCACCTGATTTTAGGTGCCGTGAAAACGTTTGCTTGATATTATATACAGTATAGCCTGGCACAAAGTAAGCTAATTTTAGACGCAATTTCTTCATTGCAGTAATATCCTCCGATGAATCCTTCGCTGGAACGAGTTAAATGCTAAATATGTGTCGTAGGCAACTTTAATTTTTTTTTAGAACTGCAAAATGTCGCTATGATACTTTTAAAGCGGACGTGATGTATAACCTGACTTGTGATAACGTACTTAAAGTTTAGAGATATTAATTACGTTCAGTAACTATTGCCAGTTTTTTACTATTTCAAAGTAAGGTAATTGTAATTACAACTCGCTTTCGCGTGTTGTTTAAAATGCTGATTTGTCAGCACCTATATGTGACGTCGCGAACTTGTATATTCAATTTATGTTTTTCTTTTATCCGTACAAAACTTGAGTGTAATTCTGCCATTAGGAGCTGTACTCGTACAATCCGAGCAACGATGAAAATCTACATACACGTTTGTTGTATTGTTTGGTACTGCTAAGTTTGCCGCACTGTGTATTATGATTGTGCGAAGCTTTCACGGCGGCGTGGTTTTCCTACACTGAGATCGAGAAGGCTTGAGCGCGATCTTGTTTCCTTGGCAGACGTACTTGCACACAGTCCGATTTACTTTTCACACTATTGCAGCTATTAAATCTATGTGCCGCGAGTACTTTTAGTGGTTAGTCCCTCTTTTTCAGTTGAAAAAAAAACTTAACCAGCCCCTTAACCGGGTACGACATTTTATAATGCCTTCAGTAGAACCGGTATCGACAACTCCAACTCAGACGTTCAAAGGTTTAGGACCTCTCTGCCAAATATTTAACAATTTAGAGCCTATCCTACACCATATCTGCTAGCTTCAAGACCCACATGTAATATAGTACAACTAAATCATTAAGCGGTCATCAAAATTAGAATGGTGTTTTCTGTGCATCATCATCCACATAATTTCGCTATTCATATGCATAAAAAATAGATGATTATGAGATAATAATCATATATGGTCTTAAGTTTAATTTGCTATTTCCAATGCGGGCATACAAACTAGAAAACCGTTTGATAAACATATGATACATTCAAAATGAAGTAGGGAATAGTTTTCAGGCAAGCAAGTGTTTGTGAAGTGATTACATAGTTTATTCTGTCGCTTAAAACATTCCTTGCAGATGAATGGCAAGGACCTAGAAAATAATTTTTATCAAGACCGAAACGACACCTCTGTTGTGTTTGTTGATGAAGAAAAGGGAACTGTGCAAGTGGTATGATTCACCTCTTTTTGATAGTACAACATATAAGCTTCTTAAAATATACCATTGAATACAAGGCCTTTCTAATGTTTGGCGTACGCCCAATATTTTTCTAGAGAGGAATCCTCAACAACAAATATTCAATCGAGCCAATCGCGTCAGGTCGCCAATCAGAAGGTGATCTCGTTGCTCACTCATTATTAGATCTTGAGCACATCGATAGTTCACTCGCCGACAACTCTGGTAAGAGTCAAATTTAAAGAAACTATTGGAAGAAATTTGCTTTGCAATGAGTGTAAGCATATTTAGTGCCCAGCATTGTGCAAATTAAATTTTACTTAAACCCAAAAAGCACTACTTCAAATTTCTATTCAAACGCAACAATAGTCAAAAATATTTATTTATTTTATTACAATTTTATGTTATTGCAATATCAGCAATATTATTATAAATTATCATACGGTGCCATGCCTTTTCACACTGTTCTAGAGCAAAGTCTCTGCCCAGCACTGGATGTTGGCCTGTCCACCAGTGAAGGCAAGTGATATTTCATTTATTTATTTTATTACCTTCAAGACCCCGAAGGTCTTACGAAAGGGAGAGGCACGCGGTCATAATAAATACATAATAATTGAGAAAACGATAAATAAAAAAAAAACATAGTTTATCATGATGCCTTTAACCCGAGACTGGGGCAGGCGGAAAAATGTTTTCAGAGTTAGAAAATAAATCACGGACAGAAAGTTTTCTAACTAGATATGTGTCTGTCACTGCTTCTTTTTTAATTCCAAAAAGAAGTCGACCACAATTAGTTTGTCAATTAGCCTTTCCAAGCACTCGGTTCCCATTTCTTGGAAGCTCGCAATCCCAGCAGGATATGCAAGATATGTTGATGCAGCATTGTGCAAATTGACTTTCACTTAAGCCCCCAAAAAAGCTACTTGATTTTTTTTGTAACAAAATATAAACAGGGAAAAACAGGTCTCTAACTAGACACGCGTTTGTCACCGCTACCATGCTACCACAGAAAACATTTTCCCTTATTCCGCCCCAGTCTCGTATTAGAGTCATCACGATTAACTTCCACCAGCTCGCCCGCACATTGACTGTGTGTACATAAACAAATGTAGGTTGACGTAATCGGTGTCACTCCAAGTCCAACCGCATCCGACGATATGCGTTTCGATGAAGGGCCAATCAAGCAGTGCCAGAATTGCATCGGTATGGCGCTATTCGTCTTTGTGGATTGACTATCATCGGCTAAAGCAATCACGCAGAGCGGATGCGCGCTGATCACAAACTGCATTCTCTGCGCGATTGGTTGAGCCGGTGATACCCAATCTACAAAGTAGACGAGCGCCGTGACGATGCACTTTGCTGCTGCCTCATTGGCTGCACGAGATCGTGGCATAGATTGCGCTCGTACTTAAAGGAGAGAAAGTGATCTTAAATGACGACTTTGAAAACGTGCCTGCACGGTCACTATGGCGACTGAGGACGACAGGTGGTTTCATTCAGCGGATCGTCCTTGGTAGAAATAAATGAGAAAAAGTAAAACATGATAGCAAGGAAATAAGCGACATCTTTTATTTATTTATTTCATTATTTATTTACCTTAAGGACCCCCATAGGGGGTATTACGTAAGGGGTGGCATGCAATAAACATCAAGAAAAGAAGGGTCGTTGCCTGCTGTTTCAAACACAAATCCAGACATACGTGTAGGAATAGCAGGAAGAGGAGAAAACAAGGCTTCGCCATGTTCTTGCGTAAATAGAGAACTAAAAGCATCATTCAGTAATTCGACACATTCGTCGTCCTGAACCAATGTGTCACCGTTATTTTTAGGTGTGATTGCAGTCTCAGATTAAGTGTTAATAAATTTCCAGATCTTTTTAGGGTCACTCTTGAGCATACAACCAAAATCGATGTTATAAAATGATTGTTTTTGCTTCTTAATTTCAACTCTGTACTGCCTATCGACGGAATAAAATGTGTCCCAGCTTAAACTGCACCCAGTGGACTTAGCCTTTCGAAACAACTTCTTCTTTTTTTAATTTAGGCGTATTAAAGAACAGTTAAACCAAGGAGCAGACACGTTTTCACAAAAAGTGAGAGTTGGAATGAACATGGCCGCGAGTTCTTAAGTTTTTAGTTTGGAAAGAAACCTATTATCAGAAACAGAACGAACATCAAAGTCAATCAGAAAGGAAAATAAAAATTTTTCTAGTTCAACATTCATACTTTGGTAATCCCCTTTATCGTATAGTGATACGGTTTTGAGTCGCTTGGATTTAGACTGAAGATGCAAAGAAAAAGTACAGTGAATTACTTTATGGTCACTTATTTCGCGTAAGTATTTGATAGATTTCAAAGTCTCAGGCTTTGAACAAAGAATGAGGTCAAGAATATCAGAATGGGAAGTTGATCGCGTGGGTTCAATTATAACTTGCGAAAAATTGAAATTAAAGTAGAAATTAATGAATTCTGCTGCTTCACTCTTATCAAGGGGAGTTGAAACACCTAGGGCCGACCAATTTATTCAGGGGTAGTTAAAATCACCGAAAAGCAGAATGCCTGAGGCACAAAACGCCGACTGCATCATTCAAATGAATAAGAAAAGTTGGATCCTTGTGAGGTGGTCGGTATCATACACCAATAAGAAATGTAGCATGCAAAGATGAACAGGAGAGCCACAACATCTCGAGTTAAGAGGAAATATCCACAAATTTTTACACGAAACTATCTTTAATTGCGATCAGGACCCCATGCCCTCGGCCACATATCCTATCCCGTCGAAATATGTTATAACCAGATACGTCAGGGAAAACTTCGATATCAGTGATAGATGATGATAGCCATGTTTCAGTATGAACTATGACGTCAGAATCAGTAGATGCTATGAGGCTGGATATCTCATCTTGCTTTGACATAGCACTTCTTATATTGGCATAGAGAAAGGACAGGGGTCTGTTGGAAAGCTTTACAATAGAATGGTTACGATGAGGATTTGCACTGGATTCAACTTGACGTGCACGTGGTGACCGGACAGCGGTGCTCCCGAGTTGCTATCTCTTTATTTCAACAACACTGTCTGACATATCATCAAAACTAAAGCGATTTGTCTACGCGTAGTTTATTACGAGTGTTTTGTGTTCTAGCAAATTCCAATAGTTTACGAAGGGCTGGCTGCACAGGTCGAGGAAAACCCTCGCTGACTATATATACCTTAATCGAACTTAAGATATTAATATACTTAAATACCTTAATATCTTTAAGTTTGATACCTGCATTAGTATTGCTTATTTTTGCTTAAAAAAGCAGGATTTTGTTATGATTGGCCTGTTTTTTTAGTTTTAAAAGGACCGATACGGTGTGCTCTTTCTATGTTATCAGGGTTGATTTGTATGTTTAGTCTACTGGCGCACAGGTTGACCACCAGTGAGTCAGATTCTGACCATGTTTCCTTCGCTTTATCTTTAAATAAAAAAAAAATAAGTTCGACCTGCGTGACCAGTTCTCGTTGTCGACACAGCGCGCCTTTAAAAGGGCGAGCTGTGTTTGGGCTGCTTGCAGCTCGGACTCAGTTTTTTTGGCGGAACTGGTCCCTCAGAGGAATTCGCAAATGTTCTTCAATGGCGCTCACTTGTGCGTTCAGGTAGCAAACTAACTGGTCAGTACGCTTTTGATTTTCAGTGAGTGTCCCTATTTGTTTCGCCAGGTCTGTCTGTCCCCGTCTGTAACTGGGTTACAGACGGGACAGACATGATCCTTCGTTAAAGGCCACGTCATCCCTTCGTAAGAGGCATGTTGGCAACCCCAAGGCGCATCTTGCCTTGCTTGGCACAGCTGAACGTCACCACCTGGCGACGACGCTCCAGGGCGTTCACCTGTGATGGTCGAACTGTACGGCGAAACTTGTCTTCCGGGGCCTTTCACAACAGCTTCTCCGCCGCCAGGAAAAGTGTCTTGAGGGGGAGCAGTTCACACTGGTCCCTTGAAATACGCGGTATCACGGCTGGGCTGGCGACTGAAATCCAGGCCGAGGACCACTCTGGGAAGTGGCAGCAAAAGAACCCGCAACACCGAACAACACTCTGCGCAGGCAAGCGCCCAGCGCCCAATCTATCCGATCCGCCAGACCAAAACAAACAATCAAATCCCCCCGAAAGTATCAAGGGCATTGCACACAAAAAAAAGCGATACCTTCCGACACGTGGCTCTAGCGAAAGAAACTTTGAAGACTAAAAAAATCCTCTAACGCTCAACTCAATATAAAACAAACTCCCGTCAAGAAAAAAAAAAAAACAAAAAAAACGTCACAAACTGTAACGTAACTCTCATAGGGCATATCTCAATTAAATTCAATCGTTTTTTATAAAGCATACTCTACCGAGTATAAAACCCCTTTAAATTAACTTTACCGCCAACACAACGAGCTAACGCCGAATGAAGCCCAAAACCTCGAACTTCCGAAAAGAGAAAAGCTAATAACCTTGCCGAATAACCTAATCGACTCAATAACGCTAAAAACACGTTCAGCCCTCCCTTTTTTCTCGAAAGTCATTCTTTGCATCTAACCCACGCGCAGTTTGTTCTTGGCCTCACTCTGACAGTTCAAGTTCTTCTCTTTAGACGTGAGTGCAGGCACGACGTTGCCGTTCCGGAGATCTTCCTTGGTTTCCCCATCTGACGTGATGCCTGGCTGAACCACGAGCGACGAGCTGTGACTCTGTTTCGAACATCGATGAGTCGTTCCAGGCTCGTTATTGCCTCCTCCCTTCTCCTTGCTTGCACTTGAGCTGTGGGCTCGTGGCTCATTAGGATGGGGGTCGTGGAGTTTTTCCCCTCCCAGCCTCGAAAGCCGCTTCCTCTTGAAGTGGCACTCGTCGCAATTTCCTGGACGCTTTTTGCAGGGAGCGTCGCTGCCAGATCGTACGATGCTGATCCGGCGCTGCCGCTTCCTCTGGAGTCTCGGTCGCTGGCTCGTGACGGCATCCGAGTTCTTGGTCTCAGATTCACCTTGCCGCGAATACGACGACGTCCTCAGGTGCACTTGCGTCCGGTCTGCTTTGTCCCGCCCGGGTTCTATCGTGACACCGGTGAATCCCTTTTTCGCGGAGCCGCCGTCGGTTGCAAGTCCCCTGGAATGGGCGGCTATGGGTCTCTCGTCCTTCGACCTCGATGATGACTCGCTGCCGGACGCGTACTCGTCGATGTCCTCTTTGCCCCTTGACTCCGTAAATGGTCTGGAGTCCGGGCTCCGCAACCGCACCAGGCAGGATTGGCTGATCTCATCAAAGGAAATCTCAATCACATACCTCCTGGTGGGCTGCTTGGACTCCTGCGACAGCGCCGTGAGCTTGCTCCCAAAGCCGCACGGGTTGTGGTCAGAGCGGTCAGGATCCTGGCTTGATTGCTGTACCGCTGTTTCCTGCATCTCAGCGCCGCTCTCCATGAGCTGGCTGGACTCCCCCGGCATTGTCTCCGTCCCGGTGTCGCCTTCGTCCTCCGGGAAGCCGCCGCTGGGCGCCCGAGAAGCCTTCTCTTCTTTTCTGTGACCGCGATCGCTCTCAGCCTCCCGCAGCTCGGCTCTTGGGTAGGTCTTGTGGGGAACGGTGTCCGCCTTGCGTGGAACAGCGTCGGTCGCGTCGGAAGAAACCCGCTGGTTTCTGGTCACCTCGATGTCCCCAGCTACAGTTTTCTTTTTTTCCTGACACAACACGCTGCCTCCACGACATTTTCGCCGTCCCGCCGCTCGGGGTTTGCGTCGGTCTTGCGAAGAACTGCGACGGTCGTGTCGGGACAAGGACGCTGGTTTGCGGTCAACTCTGTGTCCCCAGCTTCCACTTTCTCTTTTCCCTGACACGCCCCCCCTGTCACCCCTTCAACGCCTGTTGCCGCCCGGCGAAGAGACTTCAGCACCCGCATTTTCTTTGTGAGCTCGAGCTGCTCGAACTCGTAGTCGAGCCGCTCCATTTCACGCTTATACTCGCGTTTCTCGAGCTCCGATCTCGCCGTCTCGACAGTCTTCCCGTCGGCCCACTTTCTGCGTTCCTCCCGTTCCCTTTCGCGAACCTCCTCAAATGACTGTAAAATCCTCAACGCTGACGTCTTCGGGTTGAAGGAGTTTTATGATGCGCGGTTATCTTTGTGTCTGCTCCAAATCGATCCCTAATTCGGTACCGACCTGTATCAATTCGTACCAGCGCAATGCCTCCAGACTCATGATCTAGCCTGTGTTGGCCCTCTTTCCCCCAAAATGCTCGAGTCAGAACGGTCACACACTCCTTCTGACAACGACTATCTCCAACCGCGACTGGTAAAACTAAGAGCTAAGAACTAAAGCAGATGGAGAAAGAAAAGGCCGGGCACTCACCTACACAAGAAGTCATGGTCCGGCGTAGTGATTCCGCCGCTATACCATCCGGTTGTTGGGACCGCGCTGTTGTCCAGGCACTTTGGGTGCGGCAGGGAGCCGGGCCAGGGCAAGGCCTCATGAGGACGCAGAAATCGCGAAGGACCAGGAAGCAGGAGGGGTGTCTCGTATACATGCCTTGCACCTACGTCATATGATGACGTCGAACACCGGTATTTACCATGCTGGTGGTTGACTGGACGGCCCTTCGCAGCGAGAGCAATGGTAAACTCCCCCGCGCTCGGCTGTAGCAATTGCGCCGTATCCCAATGATCGCCCTATCATTTCGTCAGCATGCCCCGTGGGACAGAGAAGCCGTCAATTTAGAGAAAGTACGAGCGGCAGGAAAGGGATGCGGTCGCGGATTATCGAGTTTCCGGGGCGCATTTCATGGCGGCGAACGACGGCACTTTTCTACCGTTGTTTACTTTCGCGCACGCCTTTACATCGGATTTTGATCGTTCGTGGCGTATATGGCCTTCGACCTTCGTTGAATAACGACGTTTTCACGCTTCGAGCGCACCTTCGAGGCTCCCGGCCGAATACGGGCGAGTGTCGCGCCGCGAGCCCGGCCCGACGGCAATCGGTCGGCGGCGGCCCCCGTGTCCAAGCTCGCGGCGCCGGGTCATCGGTTTGTGCCGTCCGCGATACGATAACAATTGTAACAAGCGAAAGTATGGAGGCCAGCCGGTTAGGAAACATCATAGTATAAACCCTGAGGCAAATAAAGTTTCGTCTCCGTTATTTCATTTACCCTTGTCTCAGGGTTAAGATTATGACGGTAACATAGCGTTGTTTACTAGTATTTCGCAAAATCGTAACATTTTCTCTACAAGCGACTCCTAGAGCCGCTCGTCAAATTATGAAGCGCGCTATTAAGCTATTCTTTTTTTTTTTCGTGACACGGCATTCCTTTGCGTTAAAACTTCGTCGGCGGCATACCGAAACTTTCTGCTCGTAGCGCAATCGCACCAATGCCGAAAACTTCCGCACGTGCTGGATAAACGTCATCATCGTAAATTCAGCACGTTTTTCCAAGTTCACGGTACCTGTGTTGAAAATATGGTGCATGTTAGCGCATGTCCGGGTCGTTAGCGGCATCCGACGCCTTGGTAAGCGCATCCGCGCGGTGTGAAGTCAACCATCAGTATGGTGCGGGCCCCCGTCCTTCCCTAGATGTTCCCTAGCCTGAAGTCACTTACAAGGCATGTATACACTGTTTTTACATGCGTATGGACAAGTTTACAACGTCGTCCGGAGGACGCTAAAGAACACACAGTAAAAGGCACCTGCTGCTCTTTTTATAAAATCACATTTCCCCACATCCCCAGCAGGGAATCCCTAGCGTTCAGGCCTTGACCGAAACAGTGGGGCCGTTCGTGATGTTTAGGCACTACTCTCCCTCTCTCCCCCACACACCGCCACTCGCGTCACGCACGCCGAAGGGCAGACAACCTTGGTCGCGGTGTCACCTGTTAATTTTGTCGGTCACCGGCGCCATCGAAGTCCGGATGGGGCAAATATACAATTGTTCCCAACCGCAGGCGTCTTGGTTTCCGTGCGCTTCGAGCTTCGAGCGTCGAGGGGATGATCCCATCGACGCTCGAAGCTGGGGAAAAGACGCAAAGCCCCCTCCTTTGTCGAGGGCGTCCCACGGCTGCCGGGGCGACGTGCGTCGAGGCCAGACAGAAGCAGGAAGAAAAGGGGCCTGAAGGTAAAGTAGGGTGCCAACATCTGTCCGCCGCTCTGCTTTTTAGGGTGGTGACAACAATTGTGATACCTGTTGCTGACAAACCAGTGCTGCCTATCTCGTTGCCATGACAACCTCCGCTGTTTTCGTCGACCATTTTGTCACACTCGCACTACGCTAATTCTCGCTAGGGCTAGGAAGCGCTGACCGCTCTCGTTTCGACGGCGAGGTCTGTTGCGTTCCATTTTGTCGTGGGAACTCCAGAAATTGCGCAGTGTTGTATAGATTCCCCACCAAGCAGGAAAGAAGGACGGCGTGAATATCTGCAATCAGGCGACAAACAGCGACAGGCACCACGACCGCCAACCCGCTGAGCCTCCGACTCGTCCTATGAACGGAAACGGAAGTGGCCTCACAGTGTTGCCGGATCTTTCAGACTACACAAACTCAACGTTGTTTCCGTTTAGTGAAATAAAAAGTGGAAACAAATGGCGGTGGGAGAGGATCTGAGAAATTGTAAGAAAATGGCGCCACCCTAAAGTGGAGCGGAACCATGTAGGCGCCTTAAGGAAAAGACGTCACGGTGACACCGGCCTCCGTAAACTCGATGATCCTTCGTTGGAGGCACGTCATCCCTTCGTACGAGGCATGTTGGCGACCCCAAGGCGCGTCTTGCCTTGCTTGGCACAGCTGAACGTCACTACATGGCGACGACGCTCCAGGTCGTTCACCCGTGATGGTCGAAGTGTACGGCGAAACATGTCTTCCGGGGCCTTTCGCAACAAAGCATACTCAAGTTTAGAATTGACGAGAGCTCTCTAAAGCAGGAGTTTTAAAGTCGAAGGTGCCACGAGGAAGTTACGTGTTAAATACCTAGACATGCGACTAGAGCTGTCTATAGTTGGCGTGCGCTTGTCAATACATGTTAAAGATTTTTTTAATGCTTATTTACTTAAAGGAGGCTATTTCGTCTAGCGCAGAACGTGCAATGGGTTAAATGAACTGTTTTAGTTTTTGTCTTTTTCAGTGACTGAAAGAAAACTCGAGGACTTACCTGAAGAGTTTGTCGTAGAAGTCAGAATATTTTCAGACCCCTCTCATGGCCAAAACAAAACAATGGATGATTTGATCAAGTATTTTGGTGTTATAATGAATGAGGTATGGCACATTTCCTTTATGATATTTGTTTATATATCTTAACTGTTAAATTTAATGGTTCCAGACATGTAGGGTGGCACGTGCTGTTAACTTAGCAGAAGGCAGAAAAACGGGTGCAATCGTTTAAAGTTGAGGATTGAAAATATTCAACGTAGAACGCATTTTTGGGATTTTTAGAAAATGTTTAACACAAAGCGATGCAAAAAAAAATTACAAAATCGGGGCGATCAAGAAGTCCTGCTAATTTTAGCAGGGTGTGAGTCGAATCTTATCTGCTAAATTATCGAACAGAGTGCGACGCAGTCAAAATGAAGGCTTACACACCACTCGCATTGGCTGGTGTAAGCGATCAAGTGACCATAGCAAAATATAATAGTGTTTTCGTCATGCTAGCCCCTTTTTTAAAAGCCCCATCAAGCAACATTGGCGGTCGCCACTTCTTGGGCAACCAACATGTGATTGGATCCGAGTTCTCGTCGAACGCGGAGGCATCCCTCGTCTTCAATACGAGCTCCGAGCATGTTCCCAAACTATGGTGAAATCAGAGAGTTGGGCCGGCAACTATTGCACGCTCGTTTCGGAATAGGTATATTGGCATTATCAGTCTTGCTACATACAATTACACCGAGGTTTATCAACCCGAAGACATATTCGACGAAAGGCAGTTTTTTCAGGTACAACAATAGTACTGCCGCAATTACTTTGTTTTTAATAATGTGGAATGTTTCACGATGCTTCAGCTAAAAAAATAGATCCCGACATATGTAGCTTGAAGGTGGGTACATAATATGGCGGCCTGGGGTGGGCAGTGTGCGGTCATAATCCTCCAGCCAGGGTTCTGTTGCGAATCTGCCAGACCCCAAAAGAACTCTGATTCAAACCAGCGTTAAATATTGAAGATCAGCGCCCATTTTTAACGGAGTAAGGTACATTAACACAGATTTAGTCGCATCAGTTCGTTTTTTTTTATTTATGTATTCGTTGTGTATATATGTTCGTTTTTCTTCTTGCGACAATTTGACAGTGTGGTTTCATAAGAATTAAGATCTGGATCATAAAATCAGGAAACGTTTTGGAAGCTGGAAGGTTCCTTGTCAATCCAGCTAAAAAACTAAATAATTTTAGCTGGACTGACAAAGGAATTATTAGATTTCGAAAGGCATGTTGATTTTACGAGTGCCACGAAAAATCCTAACCATTGGAACGAAATATAGTTTGATATTATTACTCGGAATTGCGTGTTCAAGAGATGAAAATGAACAAATACTCTAAGAAATGATTCAGCCTCTAAACAGCGGGAGCGTCCAAAACGCCCAGCTTGTTTGGTCGGTCAGGTATTGCTCGCCGGTTACGTTGCTGCCACTGGGATTAGTATCAAAATTGACATAATATTTCTACCTTTCTTAGGTGAACCTGATGTACAAACAACTGACCGAGCCTAAAGTGCGGTTCATCGTCCTGAGCATTACGCAACTCACGGTATGTTGCGGAACAAAATTCTCGCTTCTCACTAATAACTGCCAAGTACGCGTCTTCGACTGGTTTGTTTAGCGTCATATCCCGCTCACGCATGAAACGTTGTCCCGAAGCGCCAAGAAATGACGTCACCGAAGCCGGCCTGTCGCGTTGCCGGATGTCGCGATCCTGGCGATTGGTGCTAAAAGTGACAGCAAAAAGTACGAGTGAACGCGAGTGTCGCTGTCGTCGAGGGGGCCCCAACTCCTGGTGCCGAAGCTTCCGTGGTCTGTCGCGCCAGAGAGCAACTTGCAGCGGACCAAGCACCTGTCACATGCACGACCGCTTCTGTGACACCGCTAGGGTTGTGGCCGGCAGCATCGTGACGTAACCGTGTATTGGGAGAGTTTGGCTATTCATTGGTTTGAATAGCCGAGCATCTCCTGGCCAACCATAGGCCGCGAAACAGCCCCTGGCGGTTGTCCTCAGCTCTAAAAATGCGACTTGACTAATTTAACCTGTTTTAGCGTCGCCACCCTTACTAAAATATGTATGGACACTTCTAGGACGTTCTATAGAGCAGCGTCCATAGGCAGAACAAAAGGCGTCTATAGGAAGACCACGACCTCTGTTGCCTCCGTGAAGTCGTCCTATGGCTGCCCTATAGAATATTGGCCGACGGACGTTCTATGGACGTCCTATTCTATGGATGATGTGTGGTCATCCTATACCCTCTCTATGGTAAGACGCCATATAGAGTCCATAGGGACTCTATAGGGCGTCTACACAGGGTCTTTACGGTGTCTATAGGGTGCCTGCAGAAAACCCATACGAAGCCTTCAAGGAGTCCCTAGTGAGTCCACAGGGAAGCCATACAAAGTCTACACAGGGTCCTCATGGGGTCTGCAGAGAAGCCATACAAGGTCTACAGGGAGTCCCTACAGGGTCCGCAGAGAAGCCACGCAGTCTGCATGGGGTCTGCGACGGGGTCCGCACCGACCAACGTTTCTAGAGCAAGTCAGTTGGGAAACGCTAAAGAGCATGCTCCGAAAAAGTGGCACCGAACTCTACTCGAAAACCGAACTAATTGCGATCGAAACGCCACCATTCCACACGCAGTGGTCACTCGGATAACTGCACGACCGCGTGTGCTGGTTTGGGACTATCGATATTCGACAGCATGTGACTGTTCTGCTTTGGCTTGAATCGGCCACTTTGGCGCCGAAACATATACGGTAGAAGAGGGGTTTCAGGGATGCCAACCCCCGTCTCCCAGGCGGACGCGCCGCGAATTGCAAGTTTGCAACCAAAGTTAGGACGCACCCAAGTCGAAACGCGCTACCTGAAGTCGCCGGTGAGGCATGGCTGTAAAAAGAAATATTAATTGTGCCGCAAAACCCTGTAAGCTAAAAGTGTATGCAAACATCACGCCCATGTCATTTTGTACTATCTCCAATAAAGGTTTCTACAAAAAGAGCTTTTTCCCATTTGTTTTTACGCAAAAACGTGCTCTGCAAAAGTCATTTTAAAGAGTGTAGGGTCCTTAGGGGTCTGCAAAGAAGCCATACAAGGTCTATAGGGAGTACGTACGGGGTTCACAGGGAAGCCATACAGGGTCCACAGGGAAGCCATACAGGGTCTACACGGGCTCCTTATGGAGTCTGCAGAGAAGCCATACAGGGTCTGCACGGAGTCCCCACGGGGTCCATAGAGAAGCCACTTTAAGCGATGGTGGTACCGCGGTGTGAGAATTGCACTCCCTAGCTCCTGGATGATTGGCCTCATAATAAAATGGCTTGCCTACACTTTCCTGACGTGAAAAAAAACAACATAAAGTAAGGTTTTGATACTGCGCCGCATACAGCATAACTAGACTTACTTACGCGTCGCGCGCAGACCCAGCCTAGTATACCGCTGTTTTACGACGATCATCCAGATGACCGCAATTTTGATAGGCACCAGTGCGCCCCCTATGGGTTGTGAAAGTTGCGAATGTCTACGGGGGCCGCAGCGACCCACATATATTTACCTCCCACTGAGAAAGTAAAAACATTATTCCGGCACAAACTAAACACTTCCATCTCCACAATGAATATACCCTGAGGTTGGATATGCCTTCAGACATCAATGTAACATATTGATACCCGGAACTTAATTAACAACTCTTTAACTCGGACACCTCGCTACACCTAAAGAAAACGTCTACCCGGCATCATTTTATTAATGTACCAATATATAGCTCACACCATAGAGAGGCAATAGGATGTCCATAGACTCACCAGGACCACAGAACGGAAATAGGGAGGAATGAAAAACCTTTTCTTTCGCGAAGATCTCTATAGCGTTGTTGTGTCCATTCTGTGGTAAACCAGTGGTACATAGACGGTCTAAGAACTGTCTACAGGAATCCATAGGATGGACAAAGGGGTAATAGAACGGCAAAAGAATGGACATAGGACGTCCATACATAGTTTTGTAGGGGCAGAGTAAAAAGATACTCTTCTTGGGTGACTGAAAGCTTAGCGCATGTGAGGTTTCGTCATGTTCATATTCAACGGTAGAATAAGCGAACGTGCGCTTCAAACCAAAGCAAACTGCATAGTTGCGGTACACCATAGTTGCGAACAGCGCTCTTGATTTGCTATCACGCCATTGTCACCTAGACGCCGAGATTGAACGCTTCTTTTTCACGCTTTAAACGTCGTTTCCAATATTGTGACGTCCCGTTCTGCTGGCTGGACTACGCTGTGTCGGATTTTCAGTTGAAGTCCTAACCGCGGGAAGAATATTCGGCGCTGGCGGCCACCTACGGTACGCCCATTGTTGAAAGTCTCCCAATATTTGGCCCAGGAAGGTGACACATGTACGACGTCTTCGAGCGGGAATTGAGGGACCAGTTTTTTTAGGATGCGGTATAAACACAGCGGTCGGAGACGCGTTCCAAGCACCATATATAGATCCCTTTACATGATCCTTTCACATGGCTGTTCCTTTGTTCCAGAACTACACGTTCACTCGCCGCAGCCGGGATCCTAAAAGTAAACAACGGATTATTAATCTATGCGGAACCCTGGGCCGCTTCTACAATTACGTGAAAGCAACGTTGACGGAGGACACGCAGGATGCTGTTATCTATGTCTCGTCGTAAGCTAACCAATCTGTCTACTTAATAACAGAGCGTTGTGGGAAATCGTTTCGATACCTCCGATAACAATACCCGATAACGATACGACGGATGCGCAAATGCGTAAGCGGGGTATCGAATGTCGTTGTCCGAGTTATCGGAACGATCTACTAAAACCAGTGTTGGCGGGCAACGCGTTACCACTAATGGCGTTACCGGCAACGCGTTACATTTTTGGTCACGTTATATCCCACTACTAACTTTTTTAAAGCAGTAACGGGTAAAGTACTTACGTTACTTATTGTCAGTAACGGGGAACGAATTTACGTTATTCTTTACATCTTTTGAAGACCTCATAAAATACTTTATATTTATTTGTGTCTTGGCGCCAAGTCCTATTAATTGTTGCCATCATCCCACAACACCTGCACGCTTTCTTCCTCAGTGTCGAGAAACGCTTTCGGCGTCGATGCCGGGTGCAAAAACATCGTTCAAAAGTAACGCAAAAGTGACGTGCGTTACATTTCTAACGATAGCCTTAACGCGTTCCTTTCATTTTGAGTTAACGTAGGTCGGTAACGCACTCATTTTATATACAGGTGAGGAGTAGCGTATTCCGTGTCATTTTTTCTTCGCTAACGCGTACAGATGACTAAAGCTCCCCAACGATGACTCAAAAACCTGGCGAGTGTTTTGTTTGAGTGCGCATCTTTGGGGGTAAAAACGGTCTTTGTTTTTAAATCGTTGACTTATATAGAGGGTGTTTTATTAAATGTTTACAGACTGTTAAGAAAAACCAGTTAACCTTCCTTAGTGATGCCTGTGCAGGTCAGTTATGCAATCAAGTCATAATATATGGAGTTAATCGTCACGATAAGTAAATTAACTAACTAAGATTTCTAAATAACTTAATAAAAAGCAAAGATACACAGCGCCATCGAGGACCATTATTTTGGTAAATTTACGAGAGGCTCGGAACACGTGGGCAGAGCAGTGGTACGCTTAAAGGGGGACAAACAGAGATATTCTTCCGCCTGGCGGAAAGTCCTCCTCGCCCTCTTTCTTTCCCTTTCTCTCTTGTATTGTAGCACGGAGAGGCGAGGGGAAAGGTCCCCTTTTGCGCCGGCTTCTTCTGAGAGGATAAGCCGAGAAAATCCCAATGCTGAGCGAAGGGCGATGGGTGCGGCAGCAGCGACCTCGTGACTTACGGCTATCTTCAGCTCCTATCGCGTAATGTGCCCTATTTTTTTGGTGCTCGCCAAGCCTAGCCCCTCAGGTGTAGGCTTTACGGAGCTGCAAGGCGGCGCCCTCGTAGTCACCGAATTTTAGCTGTCGAAGTTCCTTGGTATTGCCCGTGGCAAAGTATGCGCATATCTTGGGAGCTGCAATACATCCGCGCACCCATTGAAGGGACGTCTCATGGATATTCTCGGTTGATCAAGGAGCTCAAAACACACGCGCGAGATGTGGTGACTTGAATATGTAAAGATGACTTACATCTTCACAAAACATTTCAACTTCAAAAAAAAAACGGCTTATCACGCTCAAACCTGCCTCAAATTGGGATCGATGTAAAAGGAAATGATGTACCTGGCGCGGGCATCTTGTAGACGGTCTCTGCTTTCTAGCAGCGAGCACAAATTATTGTGTGCCAACGAATGTAGATGACATTTATATTTACGCATCCCAACAACCACATGGGGTGAGAAGGCAGCAGTGGTGTGTGTCGATGCTAAAATGTTTTAGTGGATCATCTTTAGCTCTTGGATGACCATACCCTACATCAATATATAAGCTATAACCTTTCTGTGAGCATTCTTGATCGAGTGCGGCTATCGAAGCGTGTCGTGTTATAGTTCAACGTTGCTTAAATCTGTGCCAGAACACGTGCTGTCACTGAAAATTATTTTTGAGGCATTCAAAATAAATAAAATCTAGCCGATTTTTGTAACATGAAACGTGTTTGTAATTTGTCATTGCTCACAAATTGTAGGTATACTGCCACACAGTTAGCACGGACAAACTATTGCCGGTCTTTCTAATTTTCGTTTTTTCTTAGAAGTGAATGATGTTTAGAAAACTGTTAATGCAACTATCCAACCTAAGTGGCAGAGCTCAGTTTTAGACAATACATGTTGCTGAGCAGAAATAGTAAAAAACGCCGATGTCGCGTTCGGGCCATAGAGATCATACATACTAACTCTGGAGGAAGAGGTCCGCCATTTTCCCATGCATATTGGCTGCCACAAGCGGTAGAGCATGCAGGCAGACCAGGCAGACCCTCGGGGTCCCTCACATGGTTACCAACTGCCTTCGATTTCACAAATATAATTATATCATCAGAGCAGTTTCATGAACTTCAACAATGCACGAACTTACCGGTGGAAAGATATTCGCCTTCCTTTCGAAGCTTTCTTTTTACATAGCGCGCAGATGCACAGCCTCCAGTCAACACTAAACTCAACCAGATAACCGGCTCCGCGGGTGGCCGCGCCCGGGAATACGAAACCGCGCAACCACCAGACTTCCGAGATTTCCACAGAAGGGAAGTTAATGCAGCGTCATGAGTATGCTGCATTTTATAAGCTTTAGAATAGCTCATAATTTAGTTTACAACGTTAAATTATCACTGTTTATATTGCTGAGAGCTTTCAGTCTTCTCGATTACCACTGCGACTGTCGTCCTTCCACTGGCAACATTGGTGTCTTTCTCTCGTGTTGTGTCGCTCTCTTTCGCGATCTTTCACTCGGGACCCAGGATCTCGGCGCGCGGGATTTGCCACACCTCCTCACCCACCTTTACCCCCCTGGTTCGGGCTAACAGTGCCACGTAATGCACACATACCGCTACAAGATCAGCGCAAGCATAATATGGCAATGGATTTGTTACACAATTTGTTTTAATACATGAAAAGTTTCACGAAATCGTCGCAGCGCCTTGATTATCACTGCTTACAACGACTCACACAGTTATCAAGTCGTCAACATCAGTCATCTCTGTGGTTTCATAAAAAGTGAAGTTCAGGATTGGTCGGAGATGGCTACGCTTACACTCGTATGCTTTTTCAGTTTTATCTCGCATATATACGCTTCTTGCTCAAATAAACAGGGGTATCTGACTTTTCTCTCGTCTTGGTCTTAACAAGTTTTGAAACAGACAAAGCAAAAGTGATTTAATTAACTCAGGATTATAAGTTGAGCGAAACATTTGCAAAGTTCAAGGTTCCCTGAGTCGTCGTTTGTATTCAATTCCCCCTCCCCTCAACACCACTCCCTTCCTCTAAATAAACAACGTAATTACTTTATGAACCACCAGTAATAAAGTGTATTCGCACAATGTCTATTTGGCGTAAGAAAGGCCTCGTTTAAATGTTCGAGCAATGAACTGGTCTTCTTACTGTGCGTGAAACAGCTAGCACGAACGCAATATTGATATTTTTACGCAAGGGCCATGCAGAATTTAGTGTAAAAGAACAAATTGATGCTTCGTGAGTTGATGCCCAATGGAAGCACTCTTTACCGAATCGCTTGTATAAAAATAACAACTTTTCAACCATAAAAACAAAACAAAATAACACCACTTTTTGGGGGGCCACTAAATTTACTGATTCACTCCGCTAGCGTTGATTGTCCAGCGGTATGCGTACATTACGGGACCCTGTTAGCGCAAACACGACATCGGCGCTTTTTGCTATTTTTCCCAGCAATGTATTGACTCGCACTAAAATATACCGCTTAGGTTGGATACTGGCATTAACGGTTCTCTAAATATCATTCACTTCTAACAAGAAAAAAAAAAGTGGGGAAACACCGGCGATAGTTTGTTCGTGCTAACTGCGTGGCACAGGGTACCTGAAAGCTTTTACAATGTTAAATACAATTCTGTGTCACGTTAAAAAAATGTCTGCTTTTGCTTTAGTTTCTTTGAGACACCGGAAATACTTCGAAGTGGCGTCCCGTGCTATGGTACCAATACAAACAACGTTCAACCATAACACGACTCGCTAGACTCGCCAAAAACGGGTTGAATATTGTCTTTCCCGCTTCATAGCCGCAGTCGATAAAGAATGTAAACAGCGAGTCTAGCTTACATTCGTTGTGGGGTGCGGACCGTACGGTTATCGAAGTGGCTAACAGCAACCCAACTTACTTAAATTGACATCCACCCTTGATGCCCTCTCACCCCAGGTGCTTGTTGGGAATGTGTAAATATTAATTTCATGCATTTTTCTGGCCATCGTGTTCTGCGAGTTAGGCACACAACAGGGCATTTGAGTAAATCGTTTTCAAAGGCCCGCTGCCACTTCTGGCGCGCGTTTTAGAGAATGCATCGAAGTGGCAGCGCGAGCTCCCGCTAAATATAGCGTGGCCTGAAAACATAGTCTGCTAAAGTTTTCCAATAATTTGTGCTCGCTGGTACAAAACAGAGACCTTCCAGATGCCCGCGCCCGGTACGTCGTTTTCTTTTCCATCGATTCCAATTTGTGGCAGGTTAGAGTGTGATAAGGCGTTTTTTTTTTTTTTTTAATATGTAATGTTTTGTGAAGATGTAGGGTCATCCTTCCATATTCAAGTCACCACATCTCGCGCATGTGTTTCGAGCTCCTTGATCAACCGAGAATATCTATGAAACGCTCCTTCAATGGGTGCGGGGATGCATCGCAGCTCCCAAGTGTGCGTTTACTTTGCCACGGGCTAAACCATAGACCTTCGACAGCTCAAATTCGGTGATTGCGAGGGCACAGCCTTGCAGCTCCGTAAAACCTACACCCGAGGGGCTATGCTTGGCGAGCGCCAAAAAATAGGGCAGGTTATGCGATAGGAGCTGAAGATACCTGTAAGTCACGAGGTCGCTGCTGCCGCACCCATCGCCCGTCGCTCAGAATTGGGATTTTCTCGGCTTATCCTCTCAGAAGAAGCCGGCGCAAAAGGGGGCCTTTCCCCTCTCCTCGCCTAGGGTGCCTTCACGTGCTTAGCAAAGCGCACATGAAGGCTCCCTAGCCTCGCCGTGCTACAATACAAGAGAGAAAGGGGTGAAGAAAGAGGGCCAGGAGGACTTTCCGCAAGCGAAAGAATAACTCTGCTGGTCCCCCTTTATCAGTCGTGTAACATAGCAGAAGCTGGGGGTGCGAGTACGTGCCCTTGCGGATGTTTCGTCTCTCGTAGAGTGCCTTCATGTGCGCTTCGCATAGAGTGATGCCAACTGCCTGTTTCCCTTTCCCACACCCTCTTCCACTGCCATTTTGTTTCTCTCATTGTTTCTCCGTGCGCCGGAAAGTGGCCTTTGTGTCCATCGGTCCTCCCATCCGAAGGGGAAAATGCTAATCCTCCCTCCGTGGGTTCCACAACGCTGCTCCGAACTTCTGAGATAAGGTGCTTGTTTCCGGGAAGGTTATAAGCCCCACGGATTATCGCCGAGGAACAAAATGGCTGCTGGTTTGTCGGCGAGTGGTATTACAAAGGGTGGCATCACCCTAGCAAAGCGCACATGAAGGCTCCCTAGTGTCTCGTCATCGGGCTTTTTCCGCCACTAGCCTTGCGCCCGTCACACGGACTTTAGCACACCACCGTGCTTGAGGCGCGTTTCGCCCCTTCCTAAAATGACTTTGTTGTTTCCGATGACGCTCAGCAAGGTTCCAATTGAAACTATATGTTTATTTTTGTCGAATGATAAGGTAGCTTACAAATTTAAATTAATTATCCGACCCATCGTAATACTTATCCTCCTATATTATGTCCCCAAGGCCGTATAACTCGCCTGCGCTCAGAGCATTAATGTACATTTACGGATATTTAAAGAAAAATGTGTGAAGCTTAAGGGGGTACGTAAACAAAATTCCAGCACTCTTTTTTTTTAGCTTTAATGTGTTGCATGTTGCAGCATAACCTCAAAAATACCAGTCTTTCGTTGAAAGCAGTCTTGCAGGTAACGCGTTACTAGTAATGACGTTACTGGTAACGCGTTACATTTTTCACTAACGTAGTAACGTACTCGTTACTATTCTGAATGACTAAAGAATAAAGTATTTTCGTTACGTTTTTTACGGTATCGGCTATCAAATTACGCTACTCGTTACTCTTTACTTTTGACCAAAACTGGTGAAATACATTAGGTATTTGGGAAGGGTCACGACGCCTGATCTAACGTTTAGAATAGCAATCCTGCGCACAAAACTGGAGACGTTAGGGAAACTAAATTTAGGTTCACCAAGCTCAATGCAGGATTGAGCTCCTCTGCTCGAGGGGCGACTACTTGCGCTCGAGCACGCAATGGCCAGGCAATGCCGTATCTTGCTGCTAAGACTTCTGAAGCTTCGATTTCCTAAAACGGTGGTTTTTCCACTTATCAGTCCATCTATTCACCCATCCATCTCAAAATCCTGCACAAGCTTATCGCTGAACAAAACCAGCGTCCGTCACAGTAAACTTAAGAAAAGGGAAAAAAATCTGACAAAAAAAAAGACATCCGTTAGAGGGCGTCACTATCTCGCTTCTCGAAGGCGAAAAAAACCTTCGGCTACCAGCTAATCCCGTTCGTCCTCCTTTTCTTTTTCTTTTTTTTTCATAGTGTCACCACCCACAAGAACGAATGACTGCGTTAGAGCCCCCTCCCCTCCCCTCCCTTCTCTTCCCCCTGTACTTTGTGCAGCAGAGGTAGACATAGGGGGGGGGGGGGGGGGGAGAGAAGACATCCGTTTAAAACAGTGGACGGCTATAAATAGTGGCGAAGCGATTTGCTGGTTTCTCTAGTTACAAAAAACAAAAAGAAGAAAGAAACCTTTTATTGATTTTTTTACTCTCGCTCTCCCCCTCGCTGCCTGAAAGTTCCTGACCCACTTTTGTAGGCAGAAGAATCTTTCGCTTGATTAGTCCTTACCTCCCTAAGGTCATAATAAAAATATATAAAACAAGTTTTAAACCTGTAAAAAGTGTGCTGGTAACCGGTGCCCTGTTCCACATAATGAAGTATATCAGTCTCTGGTAATAGTATGAACCGGACTATTACTAAAATCGGCGTAAAGATGAGGGGTGTTGGTTGGCTGGTTGCAGTCCCCGTTCGCATGCCGCCAAACATATGTACTCGAACATATAAGTAACGTAAAAGTTACGTCAAAGTAACGTTCGTTATTTTTGAAAAGTAACGGTAACGGTATATTGTTAGGTTTGTAAAAAAAGTAACGTAGCTCAACAACGGGTTAATTTTTACCAAACTAACGAGTAACGCTATTTCGTTACTCTTTTTGGTAAAGGGCACAACACTGGTTGAAAGGCAAAAGGAAACTAATTTTAAAGCCAATTAAACGATCTTTCAATGTGCCTTAGGTGGGTGCATGCGGAGCCTATTTGGGAGGTAATCTAGCAACGTTAAGGAATTCGCTACGTAGTCATGTAGTAGCAAACTCCATCGGGGCAGCGCCGCTCTTTGGAATTTCAACATTTCCCCTGTTAGCTTTTCTCCTCAACTCATAAACCGCGCATTGTAGCAAACAGTCCAACAAGATGGAGAAAAGATACACCACTCTTTCTCGGACCCTCATTTGTGTACCCAGACACAGTCATCCATTCTCCCCCTAGAAGATTAGCCCTTCGCTCCAAACTTGGACAAAAATATCTTTCCCCACCCCGTCCAGCCCTAAGCTGACAGTACTGTGGAAGCTAAGCGCTCCTTCGGCCAGCCACACGCTCGTCACTCACGGGTACTTCGAACGGCTCGGTTGTAACGCGTTGACGTTATTGGGCAGGAGATCGAACTGTAGGGGGCGCTTTATCGAGGTTGTTGTCCCCACAGCCCGGTGTTTACTAACACAGCAAAACAAAGAAAGTGAACCTCGTCATGCACGGCCTGGACACGAGCGCTTCGCTCTGACCAATGCTGGCCTTCGAATCGTCATCTTCTGGGTCCGGATATTTCGTCGAACGCCGTTTCATCGAACGCCGTTTGATCGAAGCCGTTTCATCGAACGCCGTTTCATTGAACGCCGTTTCATCGAACGCCTTTTCATCGAACGCCGTTACAGCCTGTAATATTTTGTAATTTATTTTAATTTTTATACACAACGTCATTTAATTTTGTTAAATGACAGGGTGCAGTGACGACATAAGTTCCATCGTGAACATATCCTGCTTCGAAACGAACGCCTCCATGAAACAATGACCCCTCTCTTGTCACATGAAACAATTAAAAGTGAGACAAAAAGCAAAAAAAAAAAAACAGAAATTACGATGTGTTTTTTCGGGAAGCGGGTAGTGTTTTATCGTCTGACAGCGTGTACGTGTAACCTTGGGTTATGTGAGGATCCGAAAGGGTGCTGTCTTTTTGGGTGACAGAGTACACCCAGGGCTTTACTATTGTCTGGTGCGGGTTGGCCTTCCTAAAGGGGTGTCCGAACAGGACACTACAAAACGCACGACTGCGACAAATCGTGAAAATTGAAGCGGACGCGCCCGCTTCAATTTTCACGATTTGTCGGAGTCGTGCTTCTTGTAGTGTCCTGTTCGGACACCCTTTAAGAAAGCGTCCTGAAGATTATTCATAGGCAAAAGGGTCGGTGATAAAGTTAACAGGGAAGGGGTGGTGGTTCCAGTCCAGGTGTAGCCCGAAATCATGTTGGCTGACTCTTAGTGCAGCTTTTGTCTCTGTAAAGTTTGAAAACTAAAAAAAAAAAAAGCAGAAACGTTTAATCTGAGCATAAAGCTGATAATAAGAGTATCGTTATATTTTATTTCGTGTGCTCTCCTGGCAGAGTATCGTTATATTATAAGCGTGCTGTCCTGGCAGTTAAATGCTTTTCGTGAATAAACCTTCAACTAGCGTAAGCTTGCAAACGAGCTGGTGTGAATCGCACATTACTGAAACCCCCAAAAAGCCGGTAAAAAAAAAAAAAAAAAAAACGACATTGACATTTAAAAGTGTTTTAAGTGTCGGTCCTTTACGTCGAGTGTCATGTTTTCTGTCATGTACACGAGTAAAACTTTTCAGTAAGTCGCATACCCATTTGTTTTTATACCAATGGTTTTTATTTCTAGTAATTTGGCTCCACGCAAAAACAGTTTCACAGTGACTACCTTAGTCTTAGCAAATGTAAGGTAAAACATCTATAAAACACTGTTATGCCCCAAAACTCGATACAGAGAAGTTCGATGAAACGGCGCTTGATGAAATGGCGTTCGATGAAATGTTCATTCATTCGATGAAACGGCGTTCGACGAAATGTCCGCTACCCGTCATCTTCGATATCGCTGATCAAAAACAAACAAGAAAATTCGGTTTGTTGCCCCCACAGCTGAAGCGTGCCGCTAGAGGCGTGACTGTTCGATATCCTCCCCAATAGACCTTTCCAGGGGCAGCCTCGAACGAAGCGATTTACGGGTCTAGGACTTTTCGGTGTAGGGCGTTTCGGTGTAGGACCTTTCGGTGCGGACTTTTCGGTGCACGGACTTTTTGGTGTGGGGCTTCTCGGTGCACGGACATTTTCGGTGCACGGCCTATCAAAATCATGTTTTTTTTTTCTAAACGTAATAAGCACTACTTTAGCTAGAAATTTATTTTTTCCAACTTTATAATTTTCTATACTCGGTAATCTATTTACGGCCACTCACCGATATACCGCCTAAGTGACTTTGTTATGCGAAGTGCCATTCTACGTGAGGATTGGAGACGTTGGACTTCATGGATCGTTTGCCGGCGTCTCTTTCCCAACGTGCACACTAGTCGCATCACATGTCTGAGGTAATTTTCAATAATCTCAAGCTTCCTGCTGTTGGGGCCTTTTCTACACTAATTACCAATAATATTCCCCTCACCTTTACAGAAGTCGCGGAAAACGCCTGTGTCGACTCAACGCGTAAACACCGATGTGATGCGTCTAGTGCGTACGTTGGAAAAGAGACACCGGCAAAACGAAACATAACGTCAAACGTATCCAGCCCTCCCGCAGGATGGTGCTGCGCCTAGCAAGGTCACTTATTTCGTACATGAATAAGTGACCGTAAATGAATGACAAAGTTTACAAATGTATGAAGTGCGAGAAAAAATATTTTTTTAGCTAAGATAGTGCTTTACTTCTTTTAGAGAAAACAAAACACAACATAAAACTCGCGATTTGAATGACCGTGCACCGAAATGTTCGTGCACCGAAAAGTCCGTGCACCGAAAAGACCGAACCGAAACGCCCTACAATGGAATGTCCGGATCCCGCGATTTACACCGCGCGTACTTGGTTCTGAGAAAATACATAACTTTTTTGCACAGCTTCAAAGCAAATGAACAAAGGTGTCAAATCCGTCCCCACACCCCAGACCCGACCCTATCAGCTATTTTTCGCGAAGACCCGCAACATAGCCGGGAAGGCTTTTTGAAGGTTATCTCGACGGAAAGAATCCTCCAAGAACGTCAAACTGCCTGCGTCGCGGGCTGCTTGATGTTCGTTCTCTTCGTTCGTTTCGTGCTAAGGCTGAGCAGGCTACGAGCCCTGGCATTCCGTGGTTCTCACGGTGGAAGGTAACACACAAAGGGTAAGCAACTTAAACAGACAAATAAAGCAAAATTTTTCTAGAAAAGATGGCGAACTTCGAATGCACAATGCGGGGAGGGGGGGGGGGGGGGGGGGGTCCAGGCTGACCGGGTTTCCACAGCTCAGGTGGCTGGCAGACCTTTCTGACTGATAGGGGTCACCCGGGTCGCAAAATGGCGGTGGCCAGAGAGCTTTTTTTTCAAAGGTCTTTTGACAGCACCACAACGCCGACAACGCCACCAACGGCAAAGCTCATAGCCATGCCAGCCTTGCTATGTCACGAATGCGGGAAACGTTTTCTTTCTGTTTTTGTTTGCTGCGGATGTCCCCATGACGCATACCGCTCTCCGTTCCCTTTTCTTCAAGCGCTTGCTCGAGTGCACCGTTTGGAAA